TATATATACAGTATACATAAAAATTGTTATAATGTATTTTCGATAAATAACCACATAAGAGAAAAAAGGGGAAAAACATTAAACGTACCAGAGAATATAGTTTCCAATTCTGTGCTGCCCATTAGTTCTAATGCTGAACCTTTTACATCCCTTCCACTGGTAGGTAATAGGTCAACTATGGACGAGACGTGCATCGTGAGAAGTTTACTGGTACCACTCGTCATGTTAAAGATGGCTGCGTGGTCACGCCAGATAAATTTATCCGTGGGGATATAGTATTTGCTTGTCGATAAATATAACCATTCAGAGGCTGTACAACAAAATATAATACTAATTTCAATATAGGCCTAAGCTTAGATTAGACATAAATTTGTGCATATAAATATAAAGAACTGTGAGAAGCCTAATCCATTAGGTGACCCTATTAAAATCATAGAGGCACAATATTATAAATGTGTATTCCCAACCCCTAACTTTATCAGAGTTACGATTTCATAAAAGGCTATTATATTGGCTGAATGAAAGTTCAATCGACAGACGATGCGTCGACTCGTTAAAATTGATAGCAGTATATTTCACCTACAATTCTTTTCGCCGATAACCAATTTGTCGACAGGCAAAAGGATCCCCTCGTTTAGACAAGTATTTTATAGAAAATTCCTTTCTTGTACAAATTGCTTTTCACTTGTTAACAAATTTGCCGATACTGTATGTTTAACCTCCACAATTAGTGCTTTTACAGAATTTTTGGTAAACGGTAAGCTCTCTGTCCCTTCAATTAGTTTAAATAAACGCGTAATGTATGCAAATTAAGCTACTGTACTCACCAGTTACACCAACAAATCTATACGATTCAAATTCAAATAAATATCGATTCCAAACCACAATGTCAGAAACAGTCATCAAAAAGATTGACGTCAGTGTGCTGCTGCCAATGGTCAACTCACTTTCTCCATCGTTATTATTATTCGAGGTTAAGTAAGATACGTTTGTCGTCTGTAAATTCCCATTAATGTAGATAGAAGTCTCAGTATCCTTTCGCCAAGAAACACCAATATTAAACCAAATTCCTTCAACAAATTTGAATTGGTCCGTAACGGTTTTTCTGTTACTCGTACTGCCATCACCAAACACTTTGAAAAATATTTGCAAGGCAATTAAAAAAATATGTTGATAAATAAAAACGTGTTTCTTTAAAGGGCTAAAACAAAATACACAATCATAATGTTACCTTTGACAACGAGTTTTTTATTTTTATTGAATCTGATGACGAGTCCTTCTTGACCTTTCTTACTATAAAGCACCGTTCCAAATATGGGTTCGCTGGTGTTTGTCAAATTGCTTCTATCAATTCTTACCCACAAGGAGACAGCAAATCCATTATCGCATGAGAATGGTGAATCTATGCATGCTTCTGTGATGTCAGGCGGCTTAAAAAATGCTTCTGGAGATTTCAGAACAGGATGTGACGTGCATGTACCACCTCTGCTCAGCTCTGTCGATTCTACAACTTCTTCTGAATCGTACAGGAAGAGTTCACTTAACCGGGGGTAATGTTGGGCGGCAGCATACACAGGGTTGATAAACTCAGTATTATTTTTGTTACCTGATGGTTGTAAAAATAATAACTATTTGAAGCGACACAGATAACTACACAAGCTAAAATGTCGTTTTTAATCATTAATGCGGTCAAACAGTATGTTTTTTTAAAAATAGGTAGGTACCACCACGGAAATCGTTTTCATAAAATAATATATAAGAGAAAACTTAAGTCATTACACTTAAAAGCAATACAATATTTATTTTCAAGAAAAAGAAAATACATTTATTCTGTGACTTAAGGTGAAATTTAAACTATTCTATTGAATATATGTACGTATACATAATTTCTATGATTTTCAATAGAAATCTATAGAAACCTAAGCATCAAATAATATAAAAAAATAATGCACAATCTACCTAGCAAACTATTTTGAGATGCAGTGACTCCTGATGAAAAAATTTATGTAAAATAGAATCTTTCTTGTTTTGTTCTGTCGGAAAAGAGGACAACGATATTACTTGTTTATATCTTGGCATATCAGGCCAATATTGCTGAGAAGCGGCCACAGGGCTGGAACATAGCGAAAGCAACTTCACAACCCGTCAGTAGTGCAAGCTGGTGTAACTATGCATGGCTGGCCGAGAATGGTCGGCGTGTGGTTCGAACCATCGACAACGAGGTTCCACAAAATGAATGGAAATCTCTGCGCCAAACCGCATGCTGAAGAAACCGAACTTCAACCACAATGAACTAGCTAATTTTTCGACCAATTTCTAACACTCATTTCCTTTCTAAACTTATTGAGAAGTGTGTGGCTCAACAAAAAAAATATTTTTCTTGATGAAAATAATGTATTTGACCCGCTGCAATCTGCCTAAAGAACTGTTTACAGTACTGAGACAGCAGTCGTAAAAATCCAGAAAATAGATACCAGAGTATCTTAATATACATTTTACCAAAGTTTCCGAAAGGCATAATTACAATACGAGACAAATGAGAGTGAACTTTGTAAAACCTAAAATAGCCAGTCAAAACAGTAAGACATTTTATGTTACGGCTATACAAGAGTGGAACAAACTACCCAAAGATTAAAATTATATTTAGCAGCAAATTTAATCGGAAATGACAAACAATCAGTAAACAGTTTTAACATATAAATATGCTTTAAACATAAACATAATTTTTTTGTGAAATCTTATACATACCGCTTTTTACCTGCTTTTTTACTTACACTTTTACGTCTTTACAGTTTAACGAGAGTTTTTATTGTTTTTATTAGATTTACTTTATGATAAGGAGTTTTAAAGGTTTTTTTAAATAAATTTTAATGTTTGTTTTTTACCTGTTTTTTCACATTCACTTTTACATACTTTTAAGGTATAATGGGTTTTATTTCTTTTATTAGTTTTACTTTTATTAGAAATTTTAAAGGTTGTTATAAATTTTCAATGTTTGTTTTAGTTTTTAACCAACTTTTATGTATTTGTTTTCATTTAAGGGACCCCAACGGAAATAAACCGATTTTTTGGGTTTCCTGAGCTGTAAATGTTTTACTAAATTATCTTTTTATTGTTCATTGTTTTGTTATTTGTAATGTGTTGAATTATGCTCAAATAAATTTGAATTGAATTGAATTGAATAGGTTTTTGTATTCTTGCTGTTTTTCTTGATCTAAGTGCTGCATTTGACACGATATAGCACACATTACTCATTCACAGCTTTTCATCTCTTGGAATAGGTGAGATCTGTTCTAGCATCTCGCATTTAGAAAACAACAGGTTCGCAGTACACATAGCTCTTCAGCATGCATTGATGTGGAGAGTGGTGTATCTCAGGGGTCGATACTTGGGCCCATTTTATTTCTTATTTACGTCTCTCTATTAAGCAAAGTCATTAGCAGTCATGGAGTTCAGTATCATGCATACGCCGACGACACTCAACTCTATCTCAGTTTCCATGTTAACCACTGGTCTGAAGCCAAGAAAATTATTGAAGCAAGCATTCATGATGTACAGTCCTGGTTTTCGCAAAATATGTCCTGTTTCAATCCTAGTAACACCTTACAAGACCACCTCCTATCGACAGTTTTGCAATCGGTAACACTAATATTCTGCCAAATTTCGCAATCTAGGAGTTGCTTTTAATCCTACCATGACGTTCCAGAAACACATACACACAGTTTGTCAGTTTTATATCATCTTTGCAACATCAAGCCTATTCAAAGGTTCTTAACCAAAAACGCTCTTCTGAAGGTAGTTCACGCTCTTATATAACATCTCGGATAGATTATTGTAATGCAATTCTCTATGGAGTCCCCATCTGTCGTTTGAATAAACTTCAGCTATGCCTTAACACAACAGCCCGTCTCGTGAAAATATTACACTTGTTCTTCATCAACTACATTGGTTACCAGTGAACAGGCGCATCACATTCAAAATTCTGCTCCTCACATATAAAGCCCTGCACAACAAGGCTCCACAATACATTTCTCAACTTCTGAAGTCAAGTTCTGCAACTTGTTCAAAGTCTTTGAGATCAACGACTCAACCCTTACGGCGATAGGGATTTTTCTGTCGCTGCACCAAAGCTCTGGTACTCATTACTTGCTTGCACCCGTGAAGCATCTTCTGTTCTTGCGTTGAAGCAACAACTGAACACCTATCTCTTTTCACATGCATTCACTTCTCATAAACTGTAGTTTAAGATTTGGAAGTAGTTATAACATTTTTTTCACCTAAAAGTCGCAACTCCATTACTTGAGCCGGCGTCGCCACCAGTGCACGGTAGTAGAGCCTAAGCTTATCCAAGGTGGATGCTACTGGAGCCCAGCAAACTGTCGCCGGGGGACCTGCGCGTACACGGTTATGGTTGTGACGCCGTATCAACATCGGGAGTGTTCATTTCCTTTCCATTTCGTGTTCGAGGTTTCTGTTTTGGCCAATTTGGCCGCCATCTCACATCATTATTTGAACGGCTTGTTTGCTTATTTTATTTGTTATTTATCTTTTAAACTTCCTTTTTATTTTTATTTAACATAAAAATAACGCTAAAAAGAAAAGATCGACGTTTCGACTCCTTCATGGTGTCATTTTCAAGATCAAATGATGAAGTAAAAAATATACAGCATCTATAATCAATAGAAAAAAGCTAATCTACAATGTCAAAGTTCATAACAGTGGGATATTAATCCCTGTGTTAGATAAAAAGCTTTGCTTTGACAGACTGTTTATTCAGACTGGGTTTTAATTGTCTAATAAATAGCATTTCATGAATGAGACAGTCAAATTTGTTCCTACATTTCTTTAAAATGCTGAAACATGACTCAATACTGCTTGGGCTGATATGATGGTCCTTAGCATGTTGTCCTAACAGAAATCTTTTATGTTCAGCAATACGTTGGTAGAGGTGTCGCTTTGTGTATCCGACATAACTTGCATCACACAAGTCACATTTAAATCTGTACACAACACACTGCTGATTTATGATTGTAGGTTTTCTTTCTGTTTTCTTTTTATTTGTATTTTTTTAATCTGACTTTGGGTCCGTATACTGTCAGCGCCTTGAAAGATTTTATTGTGGAAAGCGCTCTACAAATATCATACCATTACCATTACCATATATTGTTTTCTATAACAATAAATAAAAGTGAGGGTTCTAGTATTTACGTAGCATATGATGTAAATGGTATTAAGTCAGAGCTATATTTTGACAATGTCTCCCAATATACTTACAAACAGTATTGTAAAATGTTAAGTCTTTGACATCTTCATAGTTTACAGGCGGACATAAATCTATAAAAAAAAAAAACCAAAAAAAAAAAAAAACAATCTTAAAACCAAAAAAAAAAAAAAAACAATCTTAAGATTTATATTTATATACAATAACAGTCGGTTGCTTTCGCTAAATTAAAATAATATATGGTAAACGGGGCACACACTGTGTTACGAATTATTAGATAAAATCATAGCTACTTCGAAAACAGATTAAGTAGTAACTCACTCTTGTCACAGAGCACTCCAGCCCAATTTTCGATGCAGTCGCAGGTAAACTGGTTCACCTCTTCCACACAGGTACCATTAAGACACGGGGAACTATCACATTCTTTGATATCTACCAGAAAAGCGAAATAGTGTATAAATGTATAACTTAAACATGTAATATACGAGAAAAACTAGAATAATGTCTGGCTCCCTCAGTCCTATGAGACACCACTGGACATAAATTTCAGATTTTTGTCGGAGTTCATCCTTGGTCCTTGGAATGTTTCATATCGAAAAAATCAAATCAAATAAATAATCGTTTAAATTTGAATTTAAATACCTAAATCGCATGTATCTCCCTCGAAGCCTGGTTTGCAACGGCACTCCCTTTTTCCATAGGACGTGAAGCAAGTTCCATTGTCGCAATCATTCATAGTTTTACAGGCATCCAGGGCTTAAAGAGAAATTATACACATGTTTAGTTTACAAGTTTTAAACAATAATTGGTAACTTTCTTGCATACAGTGTTTAAAAAAAACAAACAAACAAACAAAACAAGAGCGACCGCACACCGGTCCAAGCGTTAAACTGACGTTATCACTATTTAGCGTTTAACGCAGACGAAGATTTTTGTTGACACTATCCTCTATACTTAAATACAATACACAGTGGCGTCAGTTGTTATATTGGGTTTCGGCAGGGGTTCATAATACAAATAAATAAATTAAAAATAAAATGTCTTAAAATTGAATTTAAAAAAGATTCAAAATTGACTACCAATACGCGATTCGAATTCACGACCTCTGGTTTTACTCTCTTAGAACACACATCGCTAACCGACAGTGCCATCCATATCTTACCAAATGGTTATGGCAGTAATGTACAGTCCTTCCTGAAACCCCAGTTTGTTTTGTAGGTGTAGGGAGCACCCTGGGGTCAAACTTTACAAAAGCCATGAACGTTTGTTGGAAATAACCTCTAATTTATGTGTACACAATTTTCTGCACGTCCGTTCAAATCTTGCGACACTGGACGCTTTTAAAATTCTGGTAACAACAAGAACAAGAAGAACAACAACAACAGGAGTGAGGTTCTGGGGTCCGCCATGCGCGGACCCAAAAACGTATCATAAAAGGTTTGATGTTAGGGGCTCTCTAAAATGAATTAAAATGATGCTTTTAAATAAGTCTCATTACGAAGCTTAGGGAGTAGAAATGTGTTTTAATAGTCAGAAGAGTTTTTAAGTCAACGTATACTAAATGGTTTCAATCTGTGCTTGATGAGCATAGGCCTATTTGTTTCCCTGTAATTCATTAATTATTTTTTTTTCAAATTGTACCACACACATTATTTCATCTAGATAGCCAACCTACCGACTTCACGCAGAAGGTCATCACCAGTTCGATCATTTTCATCTGCAATGGCAAACTCGTCAAACAATCCCGACATAGAGTAATTAAATTCTTGACTGTCTGCATCGTAGTATCCTCCAATCACCAGCATACGCACGCTCTCTCGAACCGAGATGGACTTACTTATAGATGATTGGTTAATTAACTCTCCGTCTAAGAAGGCCTAAAAACAAAGCATTTATAAATATGTTGATATATTTTTGAATAGTCCATAAACCTTTTTAGGATGCGGCTTGGTAGTATTTAATCATGTTTTAAGCGTAAAGATAATCCGATTCGAATTACATTACTAGGCCTTATGACTGCTTTTTATTTCTTTCAAAAGAAAATGGACCGTTCCAGAGTGTCAATCAATCTTAACAACCGACTCATCACGACAGGACCAGAAAAAAGCGCGTGTCTCATAAACACACATGTTATCCCACAAACTTACGTGTTTGCATATGTTAAAACGCTGTCGATTTTGCAACAATAACACTGGCATTAGCAACAATTTTATTGTAGTAATTTTATTGTCAATAGTACAATAATGGAAATTTGGTTTCCTCGGATACACAAAAAAAAAACGAGTAAAAAAAAAATATCGGAGCGGAAAGGTCAATTCTGCTAACTTACGGATAACACAATACCTCCAGATGGTGGTTGAGTTGCTTGTTGCGTAGTACCTATTGGTGTGGTTGGTGGTTCTGTTGTATTTAAAGGCAGCGTTACTGGTTCGACGGAAGTTACATCTGCCAATGTATTCGGAGCCCATGTGAACGCGATGCTACTCCACACATCAGACATCAAGCCTGGGGTAGTATGACTGATCACTGTTTCCCACATTTGCTCTTCTGTATTCACAGTCATATGAATATCTTTGTTTTGTCGATAGATAGCAAAACCTGTTCGGCTCGGAGCACCTAAATTGTATTAAATATGTTTGTATAATTCTAAACAAATGCTGAAATAAAGTTTTCAAGATGTTATCTCTAACAGTATGTCTCTAGCAGTTTTGACTTAATCTGTATATAGGCTTAAATAGGTCACAGCATGGAAATCATAATAAAATCATATTTAAATTAGGTATGCTGCGTAGCACCGTCAACACCATAATAAACGAGACTATTGTAAGAGTTTCAGCCATTTGTGTGTGTGGATATATATATATATATACATATATATATATATAT